AGACAGCATCATATTATATTAATGAGTGCCTTACCAAGCAGCGTTGATCCTCCTCTACAGACAGCATCATATTATATTAATGAGTGCCTTACCAAGCAGCGTTGATCTTCCTCTACAGACAGCATCATATTATATTAATGAGTGCCTTACCAAGCAGCGTTGATCCTCCTCTACAGACAGCATCATATTATATTAATGAGTGTCTTACCAAGCAGCGTTGATCCTCCTCTACAGACGGCCTCATATTATATTAATGAGTGCCTTACCAAGCAGCGTTGATCCTCCTCTACAGACGGCCTCATATTATATTAATGAGTGCCTTACCAAGCAGCGTTGATCCTCCTCTACAGACGGCCTCATATTCACAAACAAAACCCAAATCTTATCAAGCAGTGCTACACCAGGAATGGAACGGTCATTGCTAAGAAAGAACAGGCAAAAGACATGAAATAAAAAGTGTCCAACAATTACTGGCTTTCTTTGTTGATTGTGACAGAACTGGAAGCCAGCAAACTTCCAATGTTATTGTTGAGAGTAACACATGAGTGACCAAGCCTTACTGAGAGTAACACATGAGTGACCAAGCCTTACTGAGAGTAACACACGAGTGACCAAACCTTACTGAGAGTAACACATGAGTGACTAAGCCTTACTGAGAGTAACACATGAGTGACTAAGCCTTACTGAGAGTAACACATGAGTGACTAAGCCTTACTGAGAGTAACATATGAGTGACTAAGCCTTACTGAGAGTAACACATGAGTGGCCAAGCCTTACTGAGAGTAACACATGAGTGACTAAGCCTTACTGAGAGTAACACATGAGTGACCAAGCCTTACTGAGAGTAACACATGAGTGACCAAGCCTTACTGAGAGTAACACATGAGTGACTAAGCCTTACTGAGAGTAACACATGAGTGGCCAAGCCTTACTGAGAGTAACACATGAGTGACCAAGCCTTACTGAGAGTAATACATGAGTGACCAAGCCTTACTGAGAGTAACACATGAGTGACCAAGCCTTACTGAGAGTAACACACGAGTGACCAAGCCTTACCTTCCTTAACCATATTTATATTTAGACTTTTTATATTTGTATGTAAGTTACTAAATGCTTCCTTTTTATATTATTGGCTTCAGTTACATGTAATTTACCCTCTTATAACTGTTACTACAAACACTTCAATTTTATAAAATGTAATAATTCTTTGAGTGCCTAATATGTCTAGTTATCTGATTCTTAGCTTAAAATATTGGCAACTTATCCATGTATCTGTCACTACTAACACTTCAATTTCCCAAAATGTTATAAACCTTGAACTCTTAATTTGTCAAATTATCTGAATCTTTAATTCATTACTTTGTGAATTAAAAATTAATAATTTAATTTCTCACTTATATATCTGCCCATTAATATTAGCTACTAGTCTTGTTTGTTGTCTAATATTCCAGTATTGTTAATGGATTCTTAAGCTTTAAGTACATCAGTGTTTCCAGGCGATATGTGTTTGTTTCTATTGCATACCCTTATCCAACTTGTCTTATTACCATATGATATTACTGTATTACAATCTTAAGAGATTACTGAATTTTTAATTTCATTAATTATATGTATACTATTTTATTAACTATTATGAATCTGAATCCATTTATTTATTCATAATTTTAATTATTTGTTTAATTCTCACTTTGTTCTCCTCTCTCTTCTTTTTTTTCGCCTGTTTACATTGCATATCCTTGCCCAGCTTGCATTATTACCATATGATACTAATTATTACAATATTAATTTAAGTCTTAACTTGGCTAATTATTTGTATTCCAGTTGAATGATGGTGTTGACCTCGGTCGGCAGGGCAGGGCTGGTGAGAGCTGTGTACTGTACACACACTCTACATCGTCCACTTCAATATCCATATTCACTAGTATCAGACACCTGTGATAGGTCTTGGTCCAGATTTGTGTTATCAATATCACTGGCATGGTTATCTTCCAGCAATATGCCCTGTATGTCACCATCAGAGAGTGTTTTCTCAACAACACAGCTGGCTGGGGACTGGGAGCTTGCTGTGGATACGTCTGACATGGTTGTTACCTTCAACATGAGCCTGCCCACGGCCGGCCATCTGGCAACCTGGCAGACGCTCACTGGAGTCCTCAAGACTCATTCTTGTACCCAAACTTTGAATCCTATAATACGCCTACAAGTGCCTTAAACAATACAAAAATATTTTTGCTGTTATCATGCTATATGCACACGTTATATAAAAGAATTTGTGTTCACCATAACGAACACTATCATCACTAGATAATAGCAGTTACATATATATTTTTTTTAGTTGATGCTGTGGTCACAAGCTGAACAGCAGTGCTGTTAGCTCATGCTGCGTGCACCAGCCTTGGTGATTCACTCAGTACTGAGGCTCTCACTCCTCGGAATGTTACCCACGATTTTCTTTTAAATGGCGTCTGTTTACTAGAGCCTTGAGGAAGCTGATGTGAACCCTGTGTAGCTGTGTGAACCCTGTGTAGCTGTGTGAACCCTGTGTAGCTGTGTGAACCCTGTGTAGCCGCGTGAACCCTGTGTAGCTGTGTGAACCCTGTGTAGCCGCGTGAACCCTGTGTAGCCACGTGAACCCTGTGTAGCTGTGTGAACCCTGTGTAGCTGTGTGAACCCTGTGTAGCCACGTGAACCCTGTGTAGCTGTGTGAACCCTGTGTAGCTGTGTGAACCCTGTGTAGCCACGTGAACCCTGTGTAGCTGTGTGAACCCTGTGTAGCCGCGTGAACCCTGTGTAGCTGTGTGAACCCCTGTGTGAACCCTGTGTAGCCACGTGAACCCTGTGTACCCTGTGTAGCTGTGTGAACCCTGTGTACGTGAACCCTGTGTAGCCGCGTGAACCCTGTGTAGCCCCGTGAACCCTGTGTAGCCCCGTGAACCCTGTGTAGCCGCGTGAACCCTGTGTAACCACGTGAACCCTGTGTAGCCGCGTGAACCCTGTGTAGCCGCGTGAACCCTGTGTAGCCGCGTGAACCCTGTGTAGCCGCGTGCTGTGTAGCCGCGTGAACCCTGTGTAGCCGCGTGAACCCTGTGTAGCTGCGTGAACCCTGTGTAACCGCGTGAACCCTGTGTAGCTGTGTGAACCCTGTGTAGCCGCGTGAACCCTGTGTAGCTGTGTGAACCCTGTGTAACCGCGTGAACCCTGTGTAACCACGTGAACCCTGTGTAACCGCGTGAACCCTGTGTAGCCACGTGACCCTGTGTAGCCGCGTGAACCCTGTGTAGCTGTGTGTGAACCCTGTGTAGCCACGTGAACCCTGTGTAGCCGCGTGAACCCTGTGTAGCTGTGTGAACCCTGTGTAGCCGCGTGAACCCTGTGTAGCCACGTGAACCCTGTGTAGCTGTGTGAACCCTGTGTAGTGAACCCTGTGTAGCCGCGTGAACCCTGTGTAGCCACGTGAACCCTGTGTAGCTGTGTGAACCCTGTGTAGCCGCGTGAACCCTGTGTAGCTGTGTGAACCCTGTGTAGCTGTGTGAACCCTGTGTAGCCACGTGAACCCTGTGTAGCCGTGTGAACCCTGTGTAGCCACGTGAACCCTGTGTAGCCACGTGAACCCTGTGTAGCTGTGCGTGAACCCTGTGTAGCTGTGTGAACCCTGTGTACGTGAACCCTGTGTAGCCGCGTGAACCCTGTGTAGCCGGGTGAACCCTGTGTAGCCGCGTGAACCCTGTGTGTGAACCCTGTGTAGCCCGTGAACCCTGTGTAGCCGCGTGAACCCTGTGTAGCTGTGTGAACCCTGTGTACCACGTGAACCCTGTGTGTGTAACCACGTGCGTGAACCCTGTGTACGTGAACCCTGTGTAGCGTGAACCCTGTGTAGCCGCGTGAACCCTGTGTAGCCGCGTGAACCCTGTGTAGCCGCGTGAACCCTGTGTAGCTGCGTGAACCCTGTGTAGCCGCGTGAACCCTGTGTAGCTGTGTGAACCCTGTGTAGCCGCGTGAACCCTGTGTAGCTGTGTGAACCCTGTGTAGCTGTGTGAACCCTGTGTAGCCGCGTGAACCCTGTGTAGCTGTGTGAACCCTGTGTAGCTGTGTGAACCCTGTGTAGCCACGTGAACCCTGTGTAGCTGTGTGAACCCTGTGTAGCCGCGTGAACCCTGTGTAGCTGTGTGAACCCTGTGTAGCCACGTGAACCCTGTGTAGCTGTGTGAACCCTGTGTAGCCGCGTGAACCCTGTGTAGCTGTGTGAACCCTGTGTAGCTGTGTGAACCCTGTGTAGCCGCGTGAACCCTGTGTAGCTGTGTGAACCCTGTGTAGCCACGTGAACCCTGTGTAGCTGTGTGAACCCTGTGTAGCCGCGTGAACCCTGTGTAGCCACGTGAACCCTGTGTAGCCACGTGAACCCTGTGTAGCTGTGTGAACCCTGTGTAGCTGTGTGAACCCTGTGTAGCCGCGTGAACCCTGTGTAGCCGCGTGAACCCTGTGTAGCCGCGTGAACCCTGTGTAACCGCGTGAACCCTGTGTAACCGCGTGAACCCTGTGTAGCCGCGTGAACCCTGTGTAGCTGTGTGAACCCTATGTAGCCGCGTGAACCCTGTGTAGCTGTGTGAACCCTGTGTAGCCGCGTGAACCCTGTGTAGCCGCGTGAACCCTGTGTAGCCGCGTAAACCCTGTGTTTAACACTTTTAAATCTTACACGGTACTTTAACATGTATATATACAATGTACGATGTGCAGGCAGTTAGACCAAAAGTGTATACAAACAATTTGTGCTGTTAAAGGGTCAAGGTGCTACGTGCAGTTCAGAGGGTTAATACACTCACCATCACTGGGTAATGACAATATGATTAATACACTCACAGTCACTAGTTAATAACAACATCATGGTTAATACGCTCACTGTTACTAGTTTATAATATCAATATCGCTCACCATCACTAGTTAATACATCAACATGATAAACACACACACTGGTAGTACAGTAATAATAAAATTGTCCTTACCATCATTAATGGGCAGAAGTTGTGTTTGCTATCGTCCTGGGTAGCCGAGCAGAGACTGGAAGCAGTGTTACCTATTAAGGCAAAATAAAACAAATAATTTAAGGTTTCCATGACTAAATTTCTCCCACCAAAACATAGTAAATGTTTAGAAAAATTAAAAACGAAATTTTAGGTATTGTACTTTGAGCAGAAGTTGAGAGTGTGAGCAAGTTTAAGAAGATCTGGTAGGAGTAAGGAGGGTGGGCAGGAGTAAGGAGGGTGGGCAGGAGTAAGGAGGGTGGGCAGGAGTAAGGAGGGTGGGCAGGAGTAAGGAGGGTGGGCAGGAGTAAGGAGGGTGGGCAGGAGTAAGGAGGGTGGGCAGGAGTAAGGAAGGTGGGCAGGAGTAAGGAGGGTGGGCAGGAGTAAGGAGGGTGGGCAGGAGTAAGGAGGGTGGGCAGGAGTAAGGAGGGTGGGCAGGAGTAAGGAGGGTGATCAGGAGTAAGGAGGGTGGGCAGGAGTAAGAAGGGTTGGCAGGAGTAAGGAGGGTGGGCAGGAGTAAGGAGAGTGGGCAGGAGTAAGGAGGGTTGGCAGGAGTAAGGAGGGTGGGCAGGAGTAAGGAGGGTGGGCAGGAGTAAGGAGGGTGGGCAGGAGTAAGGAGGGTGGGCAGGAGTAAGAAGGGTTGGCAGGAGTAAGGAGGGTGGGCAGGAGTAAGGAGGGTGGGCAGGAGTAAGCAAAGTGGGCAGGAGTAAGGAGGATGGGCAGGAGTAAGGAGGGTGGGCAGGAGTAAGGAGGGTGGGCAGGAGTAAGGAGGGTGGGCAGGAGTAAGGAAGGTGGGCAGGAGTAAGGAGGGTGGGCAGGAGTAAGGAGGGTGGGCAGGAGTAAGGAAGGTGGGCAGGAGTAAGGAAGGTGGGCAGGAGTAAGGAGGGTGGGCAAGAGTAAGGAGGGTGGGCAGGAGTAAGGAGGGTGGGCAGGAGTAAGGAGGGTGGGCAGGAGTAAGGAGGGTGGGCAGGAGTAAGGAGGGTGGGCAGGAGTAAGGAAGGTGGGCAGGAGTAAGGAGGGTGGGCAGGAGTAAGGAGGGTGGGCAGGAGTAAGGAGGGTGGGCAAGAGTAAGAAGGGTGGGCAGGAGTAAGGAGGGTGGGCAGGAGTAAGGAGGGTGGGCAGGAGTAAGAAGGGTGGGCAGGAGTAAGCAAAGTGGGCAGGAGTAAGGAAGGTGGGCAGGAGTAAGGAGGGTGGGCAGGAGTAAGGAGGGTGGGCAGGAGTAAGGAGGGTGGGCAGGAGTAAGGAGGGTGGGCAGGAGTAAGGAGGGTGGGCAGGAGTAAGGAGGGTGGGCAGGAGTAAGGAGGGTGGGCAGGAGTAAGAAGGGTTGGCAGGAGTAAGGAGGGTGGGCAGGAGTAAGGAGGGTGGGCAGGAGTAAGAAGGGTTGGCAGGAGTAAGGAGGGTGGGCAGGAGTAAGGAGGGTGGGCAGGAGTAAGAAGGGTGGCAGGAGTAGTGGGCAGGAGTAAGGGGTGGGCAGGAGTAGGAGGGTGGGCAGGAGTAAGGAGGGTGGGCAGGAGTAAGGAGGGTGGGCAGGAGTAAGGAGGGTGGGCAGGAGTAAGGGCGGGAGGGTAAGGAGGGTGGGCAGGAGTAAGGAGGGTGGGCAGGAGTAAGGAGGGTGGGCAGGAGTAAGGAGGGTGGGCAAGAGTAAGGAGGGTGGGCAGGAGTAAGAAGGGTTGGCAGGAGTAAGGAGGGTGGGCAGGAGTAAGGAAGGTGGGGCAGGAGTAAGGAGGGTGGGCAGGAGTAAGGAGGGTGGGCAGGAGTAAGGAGGGCGGGCAGGAGTAAGGAGGGTGGGCAGGAGTAAGGAGGGTGGGCAGGAGTAAGGAGGGTGGGCTGGGGTATGGAGGGTAGGCAGGAGTAAGGAGGGTGGGCAGGAGTAAGGAGGGTGGGCAGCAGTAAGGAGGGTGATCAGGAGTAAGGAGGGTGGGCAGGAGTAAGGAGGGTGGGCAGGAGTAGGAGGGTGGGCAGGGAGGGTGGCAGGAGTAAGGAGGGTGGGCAGGAGTAAGGAGGGGTGGTTGGCAGGAGTAAGGAGGGTGGGCAGGAGTAAGGAGGGTGGGCAGGAGTAAGGAGGGTGGGCAGGAGTAAGGAGGGTGGGCAGGAGTAAGGAAGGGTGGGCAGGAGTAAGGAGGGTGGGCAGGAGTAAGGAGGGTGGGCAGGAGTAAGAAGGGTTGGCAGGAGTAAGGAGGGTGGGCAGGAGTAAGGAGGGTGGGCAGGAGTAAGGCAGGGTAAGGAGGGGGCAGGAGTAAGGAGGGTGGGCAGGAGTAAGGAGGGTGGGCAGGAGTAAGGAGGGTGGGCAGGAGTAGGGGGTGGGCAGGAGTAAGGAGGGTGGGCAGGAGTAAGGAGGGTGGGCAGGAGTAAGGAGGGTGGGCAGGAGTAAGGAGGGTGGGCAGGAGTAAGGAGGGTGGGCAGGAGTAAGGAGTGGGCAGGAGTAAGGAGGGTGGGCAGGAGTAAGGAGGGTGGGCAGGAGTAAGGAGGGTGGGCAGGAGTAAGCAAAGTGGGCAGGAGTAAGGAGGATGGGCAGGAGTAAGGAGGGTGGGCAGGAGTAAGGAGGGTGGGCAGGAGTAAGGAGGGTGGGCAGGAGTTAGGAGGGTGGCCAGGAGTAAGGAGGGTGGCCAGGAGTAAGGAGGGTGGGCAGGAGTAAGCAAAGTGGGCAGGAGTAAGGAGGGTGGGCAGGAGTAAGGAGGGTGGGCAGGAGTAGGGAGGGTGGGCAGGAGTAAGGAGGGTGGGCAGGAGTAAGGGTTGGCAGGAGTGGGCAGGAGTAAGGAGGGTGGGCAGGAGTAAGGAGGGTGGGCTGGAGTAAGGAGGGTGGGCAGGAGTAAGGAGGGTGGGCAGGAGTAAGGAGGGTGGCCAGGAGTAAGGAGGGTGGGCAGGAGTAAGCAAAGTGGGCAGGAGTAAGGAGGGTGGGCAGGAGTAAGGAGGGTGGGCAGGAGTAAGGAGGGTGGGCAGGAGTAAGGAGGGTGGGCAGGAGTTAGGAGGGTGGGCAGGAGTAAGGAGAGTGGCCAGGAGAAAGGAGGGTGGGCAGGAGTAAGGAGGGTGGCAGCAGTAAGGAGGGTGGGCAGGAGTAAGGAAGGAGTAAGCAAGGTGGGCAGGAGTAGGGAGGGTGGGCAGGGTAAGAAGGGTTGGCAGGAGTAAGGAGGGTGGGCACGAGTAAGGAGGGTGGGCAGGAGTAAGTACGGAGGGTGGGCAGGAGTAGGGAGGGTGGGCAGGAGTAAGAAGGGTGGGCAGGAGTAGGGAGGGTGGGCAGGAGTAAGGAGGGTGGGCAGGAGTAAGTAGGGTGGGCAGGAGTACGGAGGGTGGGCAGGAGTAGGGAGGAGGGTGGTTGGCAGGAGTAAGGAGGGTGGGCAGGAGGGTGGGCAGGAGTAGGAGGGTGGGCAGGAGTACGGAGGGTGGGCAGGAGTACGGAGGGTGGGCAGGAGTAAGGAGGGTGGGCAGGAGTAGGGAGGGTGGGCAGGAGTAAGGAAGGGTGGGCAGGAGTAGGGAGGGTGGGCAGGAGTAAGGAGTGGGCAGGAGTAAGGAGGGTGGGCAGGAGTAAGGAGGGTGGGCAGGAGGAGTAAGGAGGGTGGGCAGGAGTAAGGAGGGTGGGCAGGAGTAAGGAGGGTGGGCAGGAGTAGGGAGGGTGGGCAGAAGTAAGGAGGGTGGGCAGGAGTAAGGAGGGTGGGCAGGAGTAAGGAGGGTGGGCAGGAGTAAGGAGGGTGGGCAGGAGTAAGGAGGGTGGGCAGGAGTAAGGAGTGGGCAGGAGTAAGGAGGGTGGGCAGGAGTAAGGAGGGTGGGCAGGAGTAAGGAGGGTGGGCAGGAGTAAGAAGGATGGGCAGGAGTAAGGAGGGTGGGCAGGAGTAAGGAGGGTGGGCAGGAGTAAGGAGGGAGGGGCAGGAGTAAGGAGGGTGGGCAGGGGTAAGGAGGGTGGGCTGGAGTATGGAGGGTAGGCAGGAGTAAGGAGGGTGGGGCAGGAGTAAGGAGGGTGGGCAGGAGTAAGGAGGGTGGGCAGGAGTAAGGAGGGTGGGGCAGGAGTAAGGAGGGTGGGCAGGGGTAAGGAGGGTGGGCTGGAGTATGGAGGGTAGGCAGGAGTAAGGAGGGTGGGCAGGAGTAAGGAGGGTGGGCTGGAGTATGGAGGGTGGGCTGGAGTATGGAGGGTAGGCAGGAGTAAGGAGGGTGGGGCAGGAGTAAGGAGGGTGGGCAGGAGTAAGGAGGGTGGGCTGAAGTAAGGAGGGTGGGCAGGAGTAAGGAGGGTGGGCTGGAGTAAGGAGGGTGGGCTGGAGTAAGGAGGGTGGGCAGGAGTAAGGAGGGTGGGCAGGAGTAAGGAGGGTGGGCTGGAGTGAGGAGGGTGGGGAGGAATAAGGAGGGTGAGCAGGAGTACGGAGGGTGGGCAGGAGTAAAGAGGGTGGGCTGGAGTAAGGAGGGTGGGGAGGAGTAAGGAGGGTGGGCAGGAGTAAGGAGGGTGGGCAGGAGTAAATAGGGTGGGCAGGAGTAGGGAGGGTGGGCAGGAGTAAGGAGGGTGGGCAGGAGTACGGAGGGTGGGCAGGAGTAAGGAGGGTGGGCAGGAGTAAGGAGGGTGGCCAGGAGTACGGAGGGTGGGCAGGAGTAGGGAGGGTGGGCAGGAGTACGGAGGGTGGGCAGGAGTAAGGAGGGTAGGCAGGAGTAAGGAGGGTGGGCAGGAGTAAGGAGGGTGGGCAGGAGTAGGGAGGGTGGGCAGGAGTACGGAGGGTGGGCAGGAGTAAGGAGGGTAGGCAGGAGTTAGGAGGGTGGGCAGGAGTAGGAGGGTGGGCAGGAGTAAGGAGGGTGGGCAGGAGTAAGGAGGGTAGGCAGGAGTACGGAGGGTGGGCAGGAGTAAGGAGGGTGGGCTGGAGTAAGGAGGATGGGCAGGAGAAAGGAGGGTGGGCAGGAGTAAGGAGGGTGGGCAGGAGTAAGGAAGAGGATAGGCAGGAGTAGGGAGGGTGGGCAGGAGTAAGGAGGGTGGGCAGGAGTAAGGAAGGCAAGAAGGGCAAGGAGGGACCCTGTCTAGCAGAGAGGGAAGGAAGGAGGGAGTCAAGCAGGGAGGCTGGTAGGGGGAAGGGGTGGGTAG